CTTCCTTCATGACCAAAAAGTGTAAAAAATCTATATACATAACTTATATAACATTTTACTCTCTGGTATAATATATAGTTATTTACGAGACTATATTGTAAAAGAAGGTTTATTAATATATCGTAATTTACATGGCTGTTATGATATAGTGACATTGTAAAACACTTCAGTATATCTTCATTATAAAGTGATTTAGTAGATTTGGATGTAAAATAGTGTAAGTATATATTCTAATTTACACCTCTGTTATTACGTCACTTGTAAGAGTTCGTTGTAAAGGTCTCAGAGGTGTGACACTTGATTATTTACAGGAATGCATTGTAAAAAAAATCTGTAAATTATAGTAATTTCGTTGTTTTATGGAGGCATAGGTATGGTGTGTGTGTGTGTGTGTGTGTGTGTGTGTGTGTGTGTGTGTGTGTGTGTGTGTGTGTGTGTGTGTGCATCACCTTAATTACCCAACAGGGACACACACACACACACACCTGCAGCCTTGAAGGTGAAGACACAAAATTTCACCATCACAAATAATGAAGCAAAGAAAACGTCTCCCCATTAAATATGTTAAGAGGTGGAGAAGAGAGGGGAAGAAGAAGGTAAGAGGGAGGAGGGAGGAGGAGGAGGAGAGGGAGGAGGAGAGGAGGAAGAAGAAGGTATGAGGAGGAGAAGGAGGAGGAGGAGGGAGGAAGAAGAAGGTAAAAAGGAGGAGGAGGAGGAGGAGGGAGGAGAGGAGGAAGAAGAAGGTAAAAGGAGGAGAAGGAAGAGGAGGGAGAGAGGAGGAGAGGAGGAAGAAGAAGGTATGAGGAGGAGAAGGAGGAGGAGGAGGGAGGAGAGTAGGAAAAAGTAGTTGTACACTTGATACCTATAGTAATAGACAAGAGTGGGGAGCAAATAACACATTCTTACGCCTGGGGAGATAGACACCCCAGAGAGAAAGATATCACCTCCGGGGAGACAGTAAACATACCAGAGAAGGAATTCATAGCCTCTGGGAAGAATATATCACCCCGAAGAGACAGTAAACACCGTTGGGGAGGATTATGTCACCCCAGCGAATCAGTAAACACCCCGAAGAGACAGTAAACACCCCAAAGAGACAGTAAACAACCAAGAGAAGGGAGATATTACCCATGGGGAGACAATAAACACCCCAGAGAAGGAAGCTATCACCCTGGAGACAATAAACACTGAGACAGTAAACACCCCAGAAGGAAAATATCACCCCGGGGAAGAATATATCACCCCGAAGAGACAGAGAACACCCTGGGGAGAAATATATCACCCGTGGGGAGAGAGACTGACCTGGGTTTCTGGTGTTAGTGACGATCATGGCTCCGTCCTCCCTCTTCCACATGATCCTGGGCTCCGGGTTACCCTGGCAGCACTTGAGGGTCACGTTGGCCTTCTCCCTCACCTGTATCTCACTACTGCTCATCCACGATGTTGGGTGGCACTGTGGGGGTGAGAGAAGAGGTGTTAGTGGCACTGTGGGGGTGTTAGTGGCACTGTGGGGGGTAGGGGTGTTAGTGGCACTGTGGGGGTAGGGGAATGTTAGTGGCACTGTGGGGGGTAGGGGGTGTGTGAGTGGCACTGTGGGGGTGGGGATGTTGGTGGCACTGTGGGGGGAGAGGGGGTGAGGTAGTGTGGAGAGAGAGAGAGAGAGTATAATACTTATATTAACACGGTCTCGGGAAAGCAGTTAAGAAAGTGAACTTTCCGGAAACTTGAAAATCTTAGTGTTGGAGGAGATGATGAACTGAGGTCCTGGGAGGAGGGTGTGAGCCGGGGAGAGGAGGGAGTAGGTGTGTACAGAGGGAGATGAAGGGAAGAGAAGTATAGGGAGGAAGGGAGGAGAGACTAAGGGAGGAGGGGCATCACATGGGTACATTCTGGTCATATATTTAATACAGGCACAAAAATATTCCTGAATAAATTTACTAAAGCAACGATATTAAATCCTGGCTGATAGAAACACCATATATATATATATTTGATCCTGAGATCAGTAAGACACTCGAGTCTTCCTTTGTAACGTTACTACGACAGAGAGAGAGGGGGGGTGGGGTGTACATACAACAGGGTGAGGCAGAAAGAAACACGGGAGACACACTTTTAATAAAACACCTCAACACAAGTTTCACAGAAAAACACACCTGAGATGTCTTAATGAGGAGAGAGAATGAATAACTTATAAGGAAGCTGGGAACGTGTCTCAAGCTGTGAGAGTGTTGGGAGAGGCTGAACGACCTCCTCCCCTCTCTCACCTCTCCCCCTCCCACTGCCACGCCCTCCCACCCACCACCTCCTCCTCCAACCTCAAGGGACGATAAACTCAAGGAACACCAAACACAGATAAGACTAAATTATCTCTAATACCAAGATATAAATCATTATTATTCCTTTATTGTAATTTATTTATTTATCTACATCATTTATTCATTTTTCTTCATTACTTTTTTTTTTCTCTTGACAAAAAGATCAAGCGTGTGGTGTAATTGGTTATGGTGATAGGAAACATAGAGAGAGAGAGAGGTACAAGAATAAAGAACGATATAATTAACTTGATGGAAGAGATAAAGAAGGAGAATGATGGAAGCCGAGGATGGATAATTTAGTGGATAGAAGGATAGAGTGAGATAAAGTGGATAGAACCTAGGTAGATGGATATTGAAGAAACGATGAACGTAAAGGAGTGGATAGCATTGAGGCTGAGGTAAAAGGATGAAGGATAGGAATTAAACAGATAGATAAACTAGGATAAGGAAGGAAGGTAATAAGAGATACAAAAAAAGGAATTAGAGAGAAAATGAATAACAATATAAAGAGGAAATGATAATATGTCAACAAAAAGTGATACTCGTTGTATAATGGTGGTTTATTTATTTTATTTATTAATTTGTTTATACATTTGGGGACGTTGTTGAAGAGGTCAAGTGTGTGTGTGGCGACGTACACACACACACACACACACACACACACACACACACACACACACATACGAGGAAGTAATCAGGAGAAGTGTATTGTACAGGAAAATATAAAAATGTGGACAAAAGATGGTGATGTGCGGTTGTGTGTCGTGGAGGTGGTTAGGTTAGGTTAGGTTAGGTTAGGTTAGGTTAGGTTAGGAGAGGTGTCCCTCAAGTGGTTTATATCACAATACCGTTACGTTATGCTCGTAAGGTCGACACACCAACAATGATATTTTGTCTGTAGCTTTAAATCGTTAATGTTCAGGTGTCGTAAAGTTTCTCACCTGTCATGACTCACCTGACAGGTAATGTGACTGTCGCTGCTGCTACTGTCAGTCGCTCACCAACTCTTTTTTTATATGATAGGACATGAGCAGTGAACTGTCCACTCACACAGTCATGCCTGAAATATTTTCCAGTCAGCCTAAGGTGGCAGTCACTTGGAGCTGACGCCAGCATCAGAGGGTAAAATAATCAGTCTGGGGTGTCAGTCACGCGGTTCTGACATCACATATCACACACAGAGCGAGATAGTCAGCCCAGGGTGTCAGTCACGAGGAGGTGGGGGAGGGGAGGTACACTTGGCTGGTCCACATACAACAGTCTCACACTACATATCATCACTACACCTTCTCCTCTACACCGGGGAATCAGCCAGGAACAGTGGATTACCATGCGAGTACAAGAACCACTCCACCACCGCCTAAAAAAAACCTTCCTTAATATTACTGTAATCACTAACTATCGCCTCGAACCTGGGTCCTCTAGATGATCAATAGAGTATAATACCACTCCACCACCGCACTTAAGGAGAATTGTTTTTGTTTTTTAACGTCGAGGACCTACTGAAGAAGGAGCAGGAGGAGGAGATGACGGTCTTTACGATCCTGAGTTACTGACGGCGGTTGTCATGAAGGAGGATTCTTAAGTGTGGTTTTGAGGATGAGACGCCCTCTCCCTTTACCCTTATGACCATGTACCCCTCCCCCTCCCTCGCTACCGCTCCCCCTACCACCCCTCCTCCTCTCCCCCCACTCCTCATCTCCCCCCCCTACCCTCCGTCCTCTTCCTCTCCCTCTACTACCCATCATCTTCCTCTCCTCCAACCACCTCCTCCCTCCCTACCACCTTCCTACTGTGTTGTTGGAGGGGTTTTGACTTTAATGCTCGTGAACTCATAACCTAAGTTGATGACCACAGTAAACTCCAACGACCAACCTGTTTTAACCCAGCTGGTCTCCTGGGCACCATCTGACCAGGTGGAAGGGTCGTCTTCACAGGTGGTAACGCTGGTAGAAAAAGGGGTGGATCTTATAGGTGGCAACACTGTGAGATGGAGGGATATATCTTCTCAGGTGGTAACAATGGATAAGGATTGATCAAACAAGTGGTGGTGGTAACAATGGAAAGGTGTCAGGTATACATATCCACCACCTGTAGAAGAAGACCCACTAATTAACACAGGTATACTCACCCACCACCTGTAGACCCACTAATTAACACAGGTATACTCACCCACCACCTGTAGACCCACTAATTAACACAGGTATACTCACCCACCACCTGTAGAAGACCCACTTGCGCTAGGGCGGGGTTGGTGTTGATCTGACACATGTAGTAGCCGCTGTCTTCCTCCGTGACCCCGTTAATGTGAAGGGTCCAGGTCTTGTGAGAGTCGTGGGTGACGGAGTAGCGGGAGATGCGGGAGATCATTCTGGTGTGCACCGCTACGATCATCTGACGCTGGAGGTGTATCCATCCAACCTGTGGGAGTAGAAGAAGGAGGAGGAGGTGAGAGATGGGAGGGAAGGGTGTGGAGGGAGAGGTAGATAGATAAAGAGGTGTGTGTGTGTGTGTGTGTGTGTGTGTGTGTGTGTGTGTGTGTGTGTGTGTGTGTGTGTGTGTGTGTGTGTGTGTGTATTACGGTGATTGACGTCTCCTTAGGTGATTATAACGTACAATAATGTTAATACTCGTTTCTGCGTACACACACACACACACACACACACAGTGAGGGGAGGAGAGACA